CCGCCGCCCCCACCTCGCCCCCTCTCCTCCCCATCACTCCGGATCTTCTTTCCCCCCTCGCCTGCACACCCCACCGTCCTGCGACACCTGCGCCCCATTGGAACTTGTGTCTCCTGGGGATCCACCGCTGTCCTCCATTGGTCAGTGGGGAAACTGAGGCTGGTGTGTAGTCTGTGCTCCAACCCCTCCCGGAGGGACCAAGGGATGAGGTGAGAAGAGCAAGTAAACAAATGAACACCAAGTGGCCCAGCTGTGGGGAGTAACTTGATGGGGGGGCCATTCTGGGGTCAGAAATGGCTTCTGAGCAAGTGACATTGGGCTAGGATTTAAGGGTCAAGAGGAAGCAGCCTTGCCAAGCGCTGGCAGGGAAACCTGCCAGGAAGGGAATAGCATGTGCAAACACCCTAGGGAGGGACGAAGCAGAGTGGTGACAGCTGGCTCTACTTCCTAGCTCAGCCTAGCTCAGGCCAGGCCCTCCCCTGCTCAGGGCCTCAGTATTCTCTGTAAAAAATGTTAAGAGTGATGGCACCTGAACAGCCTTCAGCCTGGCCATGCACAGAGCAAAATCCCAGAGATGCTCTGGGCTGTCTCCCCTCTCAGAGATGCTGTGGGCTTGCAGAAGATAGGAGCCATGTCCCACTTGGCATGGGAACCACAACTCTGCCATCTGACTGAAGTTTCTCTAGCAGTTGTTCTCAACCTGTGGGTCATGACCCACAGCAACTGTATTAAAGGGCCACGGCATTAGGAAGGTTGAGAACCACTGCAAGGGCAGGGTAAATCCCTCACACTCACCTGGGAGATAGAAAAGTTCTTGTTCCCATCTTTCATAAGAGAGTATCAGGGTTTGTTTGTGAAGTCAATCGACAAACAGGTACTGTGGCCCATGTGTTCATGTTTGGACTTGTGTAGGTAGGGTAGCAGTAAAGAATACAAAAGCCCTCATCAAAATTAAAAGCTTTGTTTTTTGGCCCAAGGCTATTTACTGAGCACTCAGTACTTAAGCAGGCAGCCTTCCAGAAGACACCAGAAATATAAGGGAGGATGAAGAGCACATCTTCCCCTCTCTGAGTTTGTGGGAGATGACCAACAGGCTAGGCAAGATCACAGCTATGGAACTATTTGTGTGGACAGAGGAAGAGCTTAGGAAGCAGCAATAGAGATTAATAAGAGGATACCTACTTACTTGGGGTGCTGGAAGAGGGATCTTTGAGGAAATTGACTTTTGAGACCTAATGGGTATGTATGTATGACCCAGTGTATGACTGGGTAGCCACAGGAAGGGAGAGGAAGAAAGATCCTGACAGGAGAAAGATATGAATGCTGCGAGACAGAGTGGCTCATGCCTATAATCCTAGCACTTGGGGAGGCTAAGGCAAAAGGATCATTTGAGCCCAAGAGCTTGAGGTTGCTGTAAGCTATGACACCACAGTGAAAAACAAAAAAAAAGAAAGAAAGAAAGAAAGAAAGATATTAATGCTGTAGTGTATGCTAAAGTACTCATAGTGCCCAGTCATTTCCACCCTCACTCTGCTTTAGTCACACTAGGGACAATCCAGCCTCAGGGCCTTTGCACTTACCTGGACCTGCCCTTCTCTTCTCACCATTCAGGTCTCAGCTCAAATGCCTGCTGTGCAGAATGGTCCCCTCCTGACCACCATTTAAGCAACCTTTGCTCATTCACCATATTACGTTCCAACACTCCATTCTATTCTCTCTCTCCTACCTCTTTTTTTTGGGGGGGGACATGATTATGTTTATTGGGAGGTTGTTCAACTCTTGTCTCCCTCACTAAGTCTGTGTAGGAACTGACCCTCTTTTAGTCCCTTCAAGGCCTAGCACATAGTAAGTACTCAATAAATGAACAGAAAGCAGAGACAAAACAGTGGATCCAGTTAAGGCCAGAAATTACTAGGGCCACACTCCCTGCTGTAAGAAACAGGGAGCTCCAAGGTTCCACACTACCAAGGCATCTTGATTCCAGGTTCTTATGGGTCTGTGAAGTTAACATGAGTTGCAAACAGTGGCACCCTCTTCCTCTGTCCCTTTCCACCCCTTATCTTCTCCTCAGCCTTCTCGTAGCAAACAAAGCTCCTGACTCCTCATATCCAATGCCTTCTTCTTTTTTCTTCTTATTTTTTTTGGAAATGGGATCTTGCTATGTTGCCCAGGCTTGTCTTTTTTTTCTCACTCTGTTGCCCTGAATACAGTGCAGTGGCAGCATCTTAGCTCACTGCAACTTCAAATTCCTGGGTTCATGCAATTCTCCTGCCTCAGGCTTCCAAGTAGCTGGGACTACAGGTGCCACCACAATGCCCTGCTAATTTTGGGGGTTTTAGTAGAGACAGGTTCTCACTCTTGCTCAGACTAGTCTGGACCACCTCAGCTCAGACATTCCTCTGGTCTTGGCCTCCCACAGTGTTAGGTTTATAGCAGTGAGCCACCACACCCACCTGGACCCTAGGCTAGTCATGACTACAACTTCTGGACTCAAGAGATCCTCCTAAGCTCGGCGCCTGTGGCTCAAGTGGCTAAGGTGCCAGCCACATACACCTAAGGTGGCAGGTTCGAATCCAGCCCGGGC